GCCTCGCGGAGCTTCGCCTTGCCCTCCTCCAGGGTCGGGCCGCCCACCTTGACGTCGCTGGCCACCTCGAAGTCGTCGCCTCCGAAGTCCCCCTCGATCTGCACCTCCACGTCCTCGACCCAGAGTTTGGGGATGGGCTTGGTGCTGTCGGGCACGGCGACGGATTGCAGGCTAAAAAAAGAGTGCGAGAAGCCAGGCTCAAACCACTCGCGGACGTAGTCGCCGAGGCTCTCGGTCATCACATCCTCCACCAGTACCATTGCTCCACCTGACTTCTGGAGATCTGCGCTCCGCACTGTCAGAAGTGCACAAGGGCATACGAACTAAACAACGGCTCAACCAACTTGAGCCAAAATGGCTACGGAAGGGGGAGGGTCAGTCTTGGCCCATCCCGTACACCGAGCCCCATCCGCATGCACGCACTGGAGGATCCCACGATCCATCACACCTCCCTCCCCCCTGGGGAGGAAGAGAGGAGCCTCGGCTGTGCACTACAATTGGTCACAGCATGCCACAGCATGCCAGAACGGCTTGTTACCCTTGCCGCTGCAGTGCCCTACGCCATCTGAGGCCTCCCTCGGGCCTGAAGCGCAATGAGGCCAACGACAAGCTGAGCTCGCAACAGTGCGGCAGAACGCGGCCAGAGCCGAGTCCAGTCCGAGAGACGAAGGCAGAACACAACATGTGCAACATGTGTATGGATCGGAGTGCAGCGCACGTGAAGTGCGACATGTCCGACGGATCGGAACCACACAGACTCGCCACCTGTTGTCGTAATCGCCTGGATGTTTCCAGGTCCGCCGTCACGACTTTGTGCGCAATAGGCCCCTCCTCTTCCTCTTCTTGCCCCAGCCTTCCTCCTGATAAAGAGACCCGTTCTGACGCACCACCAGACGTGTCCGTAGGTCGGGCTGGAGTTTCGCTCCAGATGTCCTGCAGATAAAAAGCTCAAGAAATTACAAGGATGGAGAGCCGGTCATTCCCAAAGTGCGACTACCGCCATCGCCCCGCGCAGATTCGATATAAAAAGCTTCCAAATGTTCGACATGCGGATCTCGCCCTAGCGCCGCGCACATTCCTTTTTCAATCTTCCAACAAACCACCCGATGAAGGCCAGTTCTTTTTCACAAAAGGCGGCTCCCGCTTGAGACTTCCTCGAAATGCTGTGACCGAAGATCCAAGTTGTGCAACACTTACACGGATGGAGGGCGGATTCACCGTAGCACCGCGCGCATGCTTTCAAACCTTCAACAAGTTCCAAGATGAAGCGCCAGTGCTGGTCTCGCTCCAGCGCCGCGCACATTTCGTTTTTGAAGTTTACATCAATTCACCGGCAGAAGGCTAGCTCGCTATCAAATTGTCGTTGGCCCTTGGGGCGCCCTCAGCTTCCATAAACCGAAGCTCCAACGTGTGCAACACCGGCACCCTGCACGGATGGAGGACGGCTCTTTTTCAATTCGTGGCTCTCGCCCTGGCGCCGCGCATACCCGTCTTGAAAAGCAGCAGTTGCACGGAGGGGGAGGGAATGCCTTGACCATGCGGATCTCGCCCTGGCGCCGCGCGCACCCGCTGTAAAAGCTGACGACAGCAATAACGATGGAGGCCGATTCGTGTTCAGAGTCTGCGGCTCTCGCTGGAGACCTCCCAAGTCCCATGACCTGAAATCCCGAAAGCGTGCAACATCTACACGGGTAGAGGGCGGCCCAGTTACAGAACGGAGCCGCCGCTGGACCCTTCCTTTTGCATGTTGACGTCCCGTCTCGCTGCGACCCCTGTGGCCGCAGGGACCGGTGGATCCTTCGCACAACGGGGTCTGGCGTGAGTGGCAGGCCCTCCAGGCGCTCGTCCTTCAAGGCGCAAGCCTCCCGCAGTGGAAGGGAATACTTCCAGGAGCTTCTGAGAAGGGGGCTTCGGACGGGAGGGCGCATCTGGGTTTACCCTTGTCCTCCTCCTCCTCCTCCTCCAACTCCTCCTCCTCCTCCTCCGCCTCCTCCTCCGCCTCCTCCTCCTCCTCCTCCTCGTGCTACTCCCCAGATGCCCTAATTAAGGCTGGCCCCACATCGGCCCCGAGCAGCGACACACAGATGCCAGTGGAGCCGCTGCCGCGCAGTCCTCACACTGCGCTCCTCCGCCGCCAGTCGGGCCAGGGCGCTCTCCAGGCGCTGCGCGGCCGTCGCGGTGGCGTTGCCGTCGGCGGGCGCGCTGCCGGCCGAGCCTGGGCGGGACGGGCGTACACTTTCCTGGCAGAACCGCTGGTCGAGAGAGGTACAGGACGCACTCGGACACTGCCAGCACTGTGCGCTCACCTCGGAGGTGCACGCCCGCAGCGACAGCACAGCAGGAACATCTGATGGTGCATCGTTACCCGGGCGGCATGGCCAGAGAGAACCCGCCACAGGGCACATGCCACAACATATGATTGAGCGCGCGCGTCGCCCCGAGGGGGCCGAAGCACACATAGCAAAAGCATGCCTGGGTGATGCCGGACATCGGAGGCGAGCGACGGGGGGAGTTAGAAGAAGAAGAAGAAGAAGAGGAAGAAGAGGAAGAAGAAGAAGAAGAAGAGGAAGGCCTTCTCAAAGGCGGCGGGGCCTCTCAGAAACGATCGCGCCTTCTGAGAAGTGTTTTGTTGTGTTTTCCGGGAAGGCTCAGAAAACTTCTCAGACGGCCGGGGGACTTCTGAGCCGTCCGAGAAGGCCCGCCCCTTCTCACTTCCCCCCCAGGCTCGCCGCCGAGGAAAGACGGCCCTGGCAGAACCACTGGGCGAGGGGTGCATCGTTCACACAGACCGCGAGCCAGCTGCGCCGAATTACGGGGCAAATAGCCTCGAGCCCGAGCGCGATTTGCTCTGGGTGGAGGTCGGAATTGAAATGCGAGGAGGGCGCGACGCAGCTGCACGCCATCAGCGACGCATCACGCTCACCGTCCACAGAGCAGCTGGTTACGGCCTGGGCGTAGCTACGGTCAGGAACTTTGCTTGGCGTGTCGCGGCGGCGGCCCCGGCGACACGCTATGCACTGCAAGCGGATGGCGTGTCGCTCCGCTCCGCGGGGCGGGAGGTCTCGACAGGCTCGGAACGCGGGCGCCTTGGACTAGGACGCGGATGACGTGTCGTGCCGCAGCGTGGCAGGCCAGAACCAGCGGCGCGACACGACAAGCAAAAGTTCCCGACCGTGTGAGGTGGCCACAGGGCAGGGAGGAGGCAGCTACTACGTAGACGGTGAGACCGTGCTGTAGCCGCCGCGCGGCCGTGAGGACCTACGAGACGGATACATAACGAGACCCCCCGCCGCCATCCGCCGCGCCGCACGGAGGCCGCCGCGCACTGGCGCCGTCGTGCACGGATGCGGGCAAGGAGGAGATTGAGGGGGAGAGGGAGGGGGGGGGTGTAGCGAGCACGTTGACACAACATCCAGGCGTCGATGACTGGAAGGAGAATGAAGAAGAGGAGGACGTCTCGAACGGGTACTCGACGGATCCAGCCGTTTCTCCAGAGGAGGGGAAGGAGGAGGAAGACGAGAAGGGGCAGGAGGAGGAGGACGACGACGACGACGAGGATGGTGAAGAGTTCCACTCTCTCGGTCTCATCCCTCCCGGCCCACTCCCATTCCCCTAAAACTATCCCCTCCTCCACCTTGTTCTCACAGCATTGGCCACCTGGCCACTACACTGCCAGCTGGAAGGCAGACAAACTCATGGAGATCGCCTTCATGGGGCAGGTCGGCAGATCATTGCATTGCATCGACCAGCGCCGCCTTCCACGATCGCGTGGTTGTGCACGCCCTCCGCCTAGAACCGGACAGAGATCTTCAACAGGCTCCAGAGGGTGGTTGCTCGCCCGCCTCTGGACAACGCACCCGTGAGGGGGAACGAAAGGGGCGACCCGCTCAGGGGGAACACATCAAGCTGAAATGTGCTTGGGGGAAGACGAGCGCCATGAATATTAAGTTTTTGGAGGTCCGCGCGAATTTCTTGGATCGGCGCTGGACCCCACTCCATGGCGCGCGGAGCGCGCGAAGGGGCGCCGCCAGGGGGCGCCCAGCGCCGATCCAAGAAAACAGCGCGGGGCTCTGAAAGTGTTGTGTTTAATCATGTTTGCTTTTCTTCCACGTGCGCCCACCCCCCCACTTCCCTCACCCCCTACATCCCTCCCCCCAGCCCCCTCCCCTCCCCCCCCCCCCCCCCCCCTCCATGCCCCTCCCCCCCCCCCCGCCCTCCCACCCTCACCCCTCGGAAGGCCGGCTGACACAACGGCGACCCTCCCGTCCAGCCCAGAAAAAATCGGCCCCTGGAACCCATCATGGGTCCATCCTGACCCACCTTCCCGAGCAGATCCAGCCGTGGCGGCGAGAAGCCTCCAGGAGGCTGAATGAGCACAACAAGTAAGCCGCCGTCGTCTCGACTGGCCCTCCTCTGCGTGTCCCTGCCTCCCTCCCCCCCCACCCTCCCCTCTCTTGCACATCCCGTGTCTCATCCTGAATCGCGTTTTGACGGTCCCGGGCCCGGCGTGGGCCCCCAAAGGTCGAAAAATAGGAAAGTCTCCGCCTTCGACCGTTTCCGTGCGTGGGAGAGTTGGGCCCTTACTTAGTTCCCTCATCCCTCTCCCGCTTGGAGGCGGCGGGTGGATCTGAACTGGATGGACCTTGAGAAAATCTGCCAAGAAGGCGGAAAAAAAGCAAATCCGCTCAAAATCGGTTCCCAAACCCCTCCTGGGGTCCAGCTCTTCATCCCGGATCCGTTATTGACGGTCCTGGCATCCGAAAACGGCCCCTGGAGGCCGAAAACGAAAAAACTTCCTCGAACCCAGAACCTCGAACCCCGCCCCCCCTTCCTGCTGGCAAGGACCAGTGCTGGGCCACCTGACCCCCAGCCAGCTCCAACCTCCTTCTCCCTTTCCCCCTCCCTCGCCCCCTCCCTCCCCCTCCCCCCTCCCCTTCCCCGCGCGACCGCCTCGCTGCACCAGCGCTGCGCGCCCACGGCGGCCCCTGCGCCCGAGCCAGCCGCCGAGGAGCGCGCCGTCGAAGCGGTCCTTTGGTCCCCGGCCGACGGGGCGCGAAGGCGGCCCAGAGGGCTCACGGTCCAGTTCACAGTGCAAGGTAAGCACTGTTTTCGGGGCTTCGACAGCTGGCCGAATGGTGGGGGAGGGGGGGGTCTAGGTCTGGTCCGTCTTAGACGCTCTGCTTCTACCAGTCGCGCAAGCAGACTGGGGGGAGGGTTCCTGACCAGCCGCCACAAACCAGCCGCCAAAAGCAGCCGAGATCCCGTCTATGGACGGGCGCCGATCGGCGAAATCAGGCATAAAAACGGCTACAAGCCAGGAAAGAAGCGAGTGATTGTTAACGCCACGCAGAGCGCAGCATGATCGGTATCTCTCCCATCCCCCCTTGTCTCCCTGGCCGCCTCTCCTGCAGGTTTCATCGATCTGTCCATCACTGCAACATGTTGGCGCGAAACCAGTACTCTCAGGAGGGGTGAACCCGCGCTCTGCTTGACAAAAGGATCGATCTCGACTTCAGCTGCAACTGCTTTGAGATTGTCAATCGACCTTGGCCCTGACATCCTCGCATCGTCAAGGAATCACGCCGGAAGGTTCTTCGTAGGCTTCGGCCTCTGGGGGCCCCCGCTGGGACCCAGGACCATCAGAGAACGACTCGGGATGAAAAACCGATCCTGGGGAAGGGGTCGAAACGGAGGGCTGTGGCGTGTGCAGCAGAGGGCGCCACCCACCCGGACCTCCGACGACATGACCTGTTCGGCACGGGCGTGGTTCTCCTCGACTGCGGCCTCTGAGGGCCCGGGGCCACCCAGAATGGACCCTGGAAGAGCAAACACCACCAAGGATTGGGTCGTGACGTCTGGGGCCGCGAACTGAAATAGTCATATCTGCGGATGTCCAGGTATACGGTATACACATACGCCGATCCTGGCATGGCCCATCCTGGGCCCAGGTGACGAGCAACGATAGGGGGGGGGGGGGGCAGCTGAGAGGGGGGTAGCACATCGACTTGGAATCGGCGTGCCCCTGGGCGACAGATCGGCGACAAGCCCCCGACAGCCAATCCGCATCCCCCTGGGCGGTGTGGGCCGTTGGACCTCCATCAGCGATCGATGGGCGATTGGGGTCGACGCATCCCCCCTGAGCCTGTCCCCCCCTCACTTGGCGGCACGCGGAGGGGGGTAGGTGAGGGGGGAAGGCGTCTTAGAAGGAGGCTGTTTCTCGCAAGGTGCCGGCCTTGCATTTACAGACAAGGCCCGCGCCTTCCAAGAAGCAGGGGTGCTTCTAAGAAGCCTTCCCCCCTCCCCCATACCCCCCTCTGCGCGCGGCCGACTCACGTTACCCCCGACCGGGGTCGGTACATACGCCCTCCTGCCTTCGCCATGAAGGCGCATGCACAAATCCTGGCTGCCCAGGCGGGCACGGCCGAGAAGCCGTCCTGCCCTGGCCGACGGGGCACGCCAGCGGCCCGGAGGTCTGCGGCGTGTGTGGCGGGGAGCATGGCGGCCCCGGTCCCCGACGTCGTGGTGCTCTCGGCCGGACAAAGGGGGTTCCAAATTCGGGGATCGAATTACGCAGGGAATCACTTATGTATTATTCGCAAGAACGCCCGTGACTGGCCCAGCCCCCCCCCCCGCCTCCCCCCCCCTTGCATTGGTCACGTCACGATTCGCGCCAGCGCCGTCTGGGAATGAGCCATTCCTAAACATTCCCAAACGGCTTCGGCACGAATCGCGCCGTGACTGGCCCCCTCCCAGTCTCGTCCCCCCCGTGCTACCGCCAGGGAATGGAAAACAGAAAGAACAGCAGCATCAACAACAACAACAACAACAACAACAACAACAACAACAATCACTTTACCCGAACGCTCAGTGTTCTCACCAGTGCCAGGGTTTTCATGCGACGCCAGCCAATACCCCCACTTTGTGGGGGGGCAGTGCAAGCTCTACCAAATATCCACACGACTCTTCGCCACCACCCACACCCAGCTTCCCGCCCTATGACGTTCGGACACTTCACTTCGTGGCCTGCGGACGACCGTGGCTACTACACTGGCGTGGAGTACACACCCACAGAAGTTGTTAAGCCTACGTTCGTACACCCACAGAAGTTGTTAAGCCTTGTTAACCCACAGAAGTTGTTAAGCCTTCCACAGAACATCTGTTGCATATGATGCATATGGTACATGATACACATGATACACATGATACGTACTCACAAGATAGTTGATCACATCTTTAGGGCAAATTCCTGAGGGATGTGGGAATACACAAGAGAGAGAGGATATGGTTGTCCCGATGGTTTTTGGAGATTTCGGCGTGCGCGCGCGAAGAAAAAACGAATGTGTCCCGCATGGTATTATTTGACAGGGATGATGGCCCTGGCAGGTGCGCAACCGTTGTCGCAGAAGTTCGAAAAAGTTGCTCGCAAAAGCCCGTTTGACAGAAATGTTTAAAAAGTGTTGGGTTTCCTACGAATCCGCAAGAGCGCGCGGGATGAGATTTTGACATTTTTTTGTTGAAAAACCATTGGTTTTTTGATGTTTTTATGTTAAAATCGCTCCGAACACTAAGCTTTTGGAAGGATTTCGTCTTGCGCGCGCGAATGTCCACTTTACCTTATTTTTTGCAAGGGATTCTTGAAATTTGATTATATTAGAACAAGAAATGTCATTTTATAGTGTTTTTTGCAAGGGAAAACGGATTACAACAAAACAGCCGGATCTGGATCACATCGTTTTACCTGAGGCTTCCTCACGAAAATGATGAAAATGCAGCTGCGGCCTAGGCGGCGCAGGGGGGGCGTGCACCAGGGGGCCCAACAATAATTATTCTTTAGAATTAATAATGTTCAACAACAACAACAACAACAACAACAACAACAACAACAACAACAACAACAACAACAATCAGTTTAAGAGTGTTCGCTCTTACTGGCACGCGTGCCTTGCATTCTGTATACCCCAACCCTCGATACCCGCCCACTGCGTCTTCGATTGCGCCCCCTTTCGGGGGAATATCTCCCTTGTCGGCCACTGACTGAAGTGCAAGGAACTCTCGAGCGAGAGCACCGTTCCTGAGTTCGGGGGCCTCTCTGGCCAGGGTGTCTCGGGTAAATTGTGAGGAAGTATCGAGCGGGAGCCGTTCTTGTCGTACGTAGCTGGGCCTCCAAGGGCCCACATTAAGGCTCAAGCCAACGCTCGAGCGGGAGCCTCGTTTTCAGAAAAAATGTAGCCGGCGTCGAGGCGAGAGCGCGCGGAACCGTTTCCGGAGAAGTGAGTCTTCAACAACAACAACAACAACAACAACAACAACAACAACAACAACAACAACAATCACTTTACCCGAACGCTCAGTGTTCTCACCAGTGCCAGGGTTTTCATGCGACGCCAGCCAATACCCCCACTTTGTGGGGGGGCAGTGCAAGCTCTACCAAATATCCACCGACACCACCCAGCTTCCCGCCCTATGACGTTCGGACACTTCACTTCGTGGCCTGCGGACGACCGTGGCTACTACACTGGCGTGGGTCCTCACGGCGGGCTCTTGGGGCCTCTTGAAGGCCTCCTGGGGCAACCTATGGCGCAACCAGTAGGGGGACGTTTTATTCTCGGCGGCCGAGGGCGCAACCTATGGCGCAACCAATAGGGGGACGTTTTATTCTCGGCGGCCGAGGGCGCAACCTATGGCGCAACCGCAAGGGATTGTGGCCCCTGGCAGGCGCGCGAACCCCGTTGCAAGAGCGTGCGAAAGTAGCTCGCGCGAGCTCATGTAACATAAATGTTGGAAAACCATTGGTTTTTTTAGGATTCGGACAGCGCGCGCGGGTAGAAATTTTGAAAAGTCGTGCAGGTGTTTTTCGAGGACCTACGGTGCGATTCGTGTGATTTTATGATGCGCGGTGCTAAAATTCTTAAGAAGCCCAATGGTTTTTGGAGATTTCGGCGTGCGCGCGCGAAGAAAAAACGAATGTGTCCCGCATGGTATTATTTGACAGGGATGATGGCCCTGGCAGGTGCGCAACCGTTGTCGCAGAAGTTCGAAAAAGTTGCTCGCAAAAGCCCGTTTGACAGAAATGTTTAAAAAGTGTTGGGTTTCCTACGAATCCGCAAGAGCGCGCGGGATGAGATTTTGACAATTTTTTGTTGAAAAACCATTGGTTTTTTGATGTTTTTATGTTAAAATCGCTGCGAACACTAAGGTTTTGGAAGGATTTCGTCTTGCGCGCGCGAATGTCCACTTTACCTTATTTTTTGCAAGGGATTCTTGAAATTTGATTATATTAGAACAAGAAATGTCATTTTCTATTGTTTTTTGCAAGGGAAAGCGGATTACAACAAAACAACCGGATCCTGTACACACCCTCTTTTCTGAGGCTTCCTCACGAAAATGATGAAAATGTAGCTGCGGCCTAGGCGGCGCAGGGGGGGCGCGCACCAGGGGGCCCAACAATAATTATTCTTTAGAATAAATAATGTTCAACAACAACAACAACAACAACAACAACAACAACAACAACAACAACAACAACAACAACAACAACAATTACTAGCACGTGGGGACACTCCGTTCTCACCAGTGCCAGGGTTTTCATAGGAGGCGGGCAATACCCCCACTTTGTGGGGGGGCCGGTTCAAGCTCTACCAAATTTCCAAACGACTCTTCGCCACCACCCACACCCAGCTTCCCGCCCTATGACGTTCGGACACTTCACTTCGTGGCATGCGGACGACCGAGGGCGCAACCTATGGCGCAACCGCAAGGGATTGTGGCCCCTGGCAGGCGCGCGAACCCCGTTGCAAGAGCGTGCGAAAGTAGCTCGCGCGAGCTCATGTAACATAAATGTTGGAAAACCATTGTTTTTTTTGGATTCGGACAGCGCGCGCGGGTAGAAATTTTGAAAAGTCGTGCAGGTGTTTTTCGAGGACCTACGGTGCGATTCGTGTGATTTTATGATGCGCGGTGCTAAAATTCTTAAGAAGCCCAATGGTTTTTGGAGATTTCGGCGTGCGCGCGCGAAGAAAAAACGAATGTGTCCCGCATGGTATTATTTGACAGGGATGATGGCCCTGGCAGGTGCGCAACCGTTGTCGCAGAAGTTCGAAAAAGTTGCTCGCAAAAGCCCGTTTGACAGAAATGTTTAAAAAGTGTTGGGTTTCCTACGAATCCGCAAGAGCGCGCGGGATGAGATTTTGACATTTTTTTGTTGAAAAACCATTGGTTTTTTGATGTTTTTATGTTAAAATCGCTGCGAACACTAAGGTTTTGGAAGGATTTCGTCTTGCGCGCGCGAATGTCTTTACCTTATTTTTTGCAAGGGATTCTTGAAATTTGATTATATTAGAACAAGAAATGTCATTTTCTATTGTTTTTTGCAAGGGAAAGCGGATTACAACAAAACAACCGGATCCTGTACACACCCTCTTTTCTGAGGCTTCCTCACGAAAATGATGAAAATGTAGCTGCGGCCTAGGCGGCGCAGGGGGGGCGCGCACCAGGGGGCCCAACAATAATTATTCTTTAGAATAAATAATGTTCAACAACAATCAAAAAGGGGCCCCACGCGGGAATCTCATTACGATAGGAGGTACATCCGTCCTTGAATGGGGTGCGTCCGAATGGCCCCCCGAATGGGTGCATCCCCTAGTTCCCTTCCTTGCCTCAGCGGCCTGATTCTGGGGGGTGGAACTCGTGGATCGGGGTTGGAAGATCGCCTGCGAGTACGGGCAGCGAGCAGGCCCTTCCGCCTCGTTGAGTTCAAACACTTCGGCGAACCACGGCACGTGAAGAGGAACGGCGGTCATGCATCCAGTCTCGGAACGGTCCCGCTTGGCATCGGTGGAACTACCCCGCGGTCAGGCATAAACCCGAGTGTTTCAAATCCTTTCTCTAGATCAAACCTAGCCAGGTACGCGTCACAGGCAATGTGCAAGAGTCTGCTTTCAGGCTGGCCTGCAGGTCGGATTGACTGCAATGCGGTTCATTGTAAACATTGCCGCGGAGTTCGGCAATGCGGAGGGTGACTTCGGACAGTACCCTGCTATGAAGTGGTGGGATTGGCATCAAGGTTGCAATCTGCCTCACACGCCGACAGAGAGGAGAATGAAAGAGAGAAGCAACAGTCAAAATGATGGAAGCGACTCTTTTTGCAGAATGGCGATCTCGCTCGAAGCTTCCGGTCACTCAAGCCATCTGGATTGATCTTTCGTGAAATCTGGACACGCAGAGCAAGTTCACACATGGAGCGCGGCATTGTTGCATCATAGGCCCATCGGCTGGCGCACACTTGAAAGATATGCCCATACCTCCTGGCAGTGTACATCACTGCACAAATGCGGGGATGGCTCCTTTTCAAATCGGGGGGGTGGGCGCTTGAATGGCAGGGCCTGGTGGCGCTCGTCTTTACGGGGGGGGTCGCCCCCTGCAGTGTACACCAACGCATACACGGACGTACGCTTGAGGGGACTCAGGGCAAGAAGGTGTGCTGCGACAGCCTGGATACATCCTGGGGAACGTCCGGCCCTCCCCCTGCGCACTAAAGCGGGGCGGGCCAAGAGCTCATTCCTGCACGTCTTGAGGAGGGGACCTGGCGGCAAGACGTCGTCTCTCTGGTCCTCCTCCTCCTCCTCCTCCACCTCCTCCTCCGCCTCCTCCTCAACATCCTGCTAGCTTCAATTAGCTCCGCAGCCGGATCCACCCCGATGAACAGAAACGGCAAAGAGAAAGAGAGAGAGATAGAGAGAGAGAGAGCGAGAGAGGGAGAAACAAAAAAGAAAGAGAGAGAGGGGGGGGGAAAGAGAGAGAGAGAGACACACACACACACACACTTTGCTCGTCGGCGGCGAGGCAGAATGGCTGAACCAGCGATAGAACTAAACTGGGGCATCGAGAGAAGCGAATTGTCCAGCTCGCAGGAGATTGGAAAAGACGGACGGGGCGGCCGCGGAGAAGGAAGGAGGAGGGGGCACTCAGAGGCGGAAGAATTCCGACCAGAGCGCGCTGGCGCGGCTGGTCTCATAAGCGGGGGCCATGGTAGCAGCCGGGCCGCAGCGCCAGGGCACCCACGCGCGATGACGAGGCCCAGTGCGTGAAAACAAAAAAATGCCACAGTGATGCCGTTGGTGAAGTAGGACAACGTACTGCACGTCAGGGAAAGCGCCGTGAGGCCGCCCAGGCGGGTGGCTGGGTTGACAGGGTACGACAAGTACACGAGCAATCTAAGTTTCAGACTGCCACCAGCAAAATGCTGGGCCCGTGAGGTGGGGTGCAGGGCTGCAAGACCAGGCCCAGGACACACACACACACACAGAGAGAGAAAGAGAGAGTACCTCCTCCTCCTCCTCCTCCTCCTCCTCCTCCTCCTCCTCCTCCTCCTCCTCCTCCTCCTCCTCCTCCCTGCATGCCAGGCCCCGCTCCTGCGACGGCCGCAGCCTGGCCGCCCCGCGGGCCGCCCCGCGCGGGCGGCCCAGGCTCAGGAACGCGCCGCGCATGTCGAAGGGGGCGTCCTGGCCACGGGCAGCGGCCGCGAGGGCGCCGAGTCGCGACGGGCAACGCTCGCACGGCGTAGAGGTGGCGCTGATCTGCGCCAGTGGGCGACGAGGCCGGGACACACGTGCGAGCATATTCGCGAGGAGGAGGAGGAGGAGGAGGAGGAGGAGGAGGAGGAGGAGGAGGCGGAGGGCACGGCGCGGAGGAGAGGAGAAGGCAGGAGGAGGAGGAGAAGGAGGAGGAGGACGACGACGAGGAGGACGAGGAGGAGGAGGAGGAGAGGAGGAGGAGGAGGAACGAGGACGAGAAGGAGGAGGAGGACGAGGGGAGGAGGAGGAGGAATACCAGGAGGAGGAGCAGGAGGACGACGACGACGACGACGAGGAAGAGGAGGGGGGAGGGGGGAGGGGGGAGGGGGGAGAAGGGAAGGGAGACTACGAGGGAAGAGGGACGAGCGAGGGGGCGAAGGGAGGACGGAGGAGGAGACGAAGAGAATGAGAAGGGAGGAAGCAGGAAGAGGAAGAGGGAGGGGGGAGGGTGGGGGGAGGAGGGAGGAGGGGGGAGGGAGGAGGAGGAGCAGGAGGAGAAGGAGGAGGAAGGAGGATGAAGAGGAGGAAGAGGGAGGAAGGAATGGAGGGCATGAGAAAGAGGAAGAGGGATGAGGAAAAGGAGGAGGAGGAGGCGGAGAAGGGATCGGGGCAGGAGGAAAAAGAGGAAGGAGGGAGGGCCACGCCCCCGGGCACCACAGGGAGGCTCGAAATCTTTGAATGAGGTGTGCAAGACTACTCTGCGGCCTTTGCAAGGTCTAGCAGCTCGACAACATGACAAATAGCCTGGGGCCTCAAGCGCGTTCAAGACAGTCCACGAGACCCCCGAATGTCACCCCAAAACCCAAACGGCCCCAGGAGGGCCCCAGGAGGGCCCATGAGGGCCCCGAGACGCCGAAGAGGTCTCCCAGGCAGCCACAAGACGGCCTCCGAAGGCGCCAAACGGGCCAACAACGCCACAGGAATCCAAGCGGGCCCCAGGAGGCCACCAAAGAAGACCCAAAAGGTCCGAGGAGAGCCCCAGGACGGCCACGGGGCCCTTCGCCGGTGCTCCCCCAGTGGTTTCTGCAAACAAGCAGACCACTGCAGCCAAGACGCTGAAGTCAGGACCGCCTTGTGCTCGGAAGGGGCCAGTGGGTGGGTCGGGCCTTTGAGCTGGGTCGGGGGACCTGCTCGTGGCCGAGGCTCACCTTGGCCGGAAAAGCCCCTTCGTTTCTGATGCGGCGTCCCCTGAGGTAGCACGATGGTAGCGCGATGGTGGCAGCACTGGCTACGCTTCTGGCCCCGACATGTCACCACACGGGCGTCTGCGAACGACATAAGGCGGCAAGCGGCGATGGCCCGCTGGATGCGTCCTCGACAATTGCACAGAGCGGTCAAGAGTGCGACAGGTGCCTACGGCGTATGAGATGCTTCCCCCTCCCCAAACCCCTCCCCCGGGGGCCTGGTCTGGACGATTTGGAGGGGTGGGGGGTGGGGGGCAAATCCATCATCCGCGCACTTGGAGCCTCGGGAGGCCCCAGAACGGGCCAAAAAGGTTCCAAAGGTCCCTGGAACGGTCCAAGAGAGCTACGAATCGACGAAAGATCGCCCTAAAATGCCGAAGATTGCCTCCACACGGCTCCATAAGTCCCCAAGACGTTTGAAACAATATTACGAGGCGGCCCAAAGATGCCCTCCAGAAGCAAAAATCGTCCCACTCCCTAGGTAGAACGTACATTTTCACCACATTCGCCCATTCGGCTTCCACGCGGCGCAAAGCGACCCAAAAAGCCTCCAAGGTCGACCCTCACCAGCCCAAGAGGCTCCCACAAAGGCTCCAAGACGGCGTCCGGGCGATCCACGGAGGTCCCAGAAACCATAGCAACGGCTCAGGACGGTCCCAAGAGGGCTCCAAAACTGGGCAAGAGGGCCTCCAAAGGCTGTCCGGACGGCCCACGCGGGGGACGATTCCGTCCAAACCGCCCAAGATCGCCGCCAGACGGCCCCATGGGTGTCCATGACGTTTGAAAACGCGACCACGAGACGCTCCAAGAAGGCCTCCAGCAGCAAAAACCGTCCCATTCCCTAGGTAAAACGTACAGTTTGAGCATATTCGCTTCTTGGGCTTTCACGAGGCCCACAGCGGCCCAATAAACCTCCAAGATCGACCCCTGTCACCCGAAGAGGCTCCCAAGAAGGCTCCAAGACTGCTTCCGGGCGATTCACGAAGGCTCCAGAAACCATAGCAACGGCCCGGGAAAGCCGCAGGACGGTCCCAAGAGGGCTCCAAAACGAGCCAAGAGGGCTCCCAAAGGCTGTGCGGACGGCCCACGCGGGGGACGATTCCGTCCAAACCGCCCAAGATTGCCTCCAGACAGCCCCATGGGCGTCCAAGACGCTTGCATACGCGACCACGAGGCGCTCCAAGCAGGTCTCCAGAAGCAGAAACCGTCCCATCCCCTAGGGAGAACGTACATTTTCAGCATATTCGCTTCTTGGGCTTCCACGAAGCCCACAACGGCCCAGTAAACCTCCAAGATCGACCTCTGGCACGCAAGGAGACTCTCCAAAAGGCTCCACGACGGCCTCCAGGCGCCCCACGAAGGCCCCAGAAACCACAGCAACGACCCGGGGAACGGCAGGACGGTCCTAAGAGGGCACCAAAACGTGTCTAGAGGGGCCTCACGGGCTGTCCAGACAGGCCACGCGGGGGACGATTGCTGCCGCCCCAAGGGGTCGGCGGTGTGGCGTAAGCCAATGAACATGACGGTCGAGAACTTTTGCTTAGGCCCCGGCGACACGCTGTGCCCTGCAAGCGGAAAACGCGTCATTCCGCTCCGCGGGGCAGAGGGCTTCGGAAGGCTCGGAACGTGGACGCCTGGGGACTGGGGCGCGAATAGCGCGTCGCACCGCAGCGAGGCGGGCCAGAACCAGCGGCGCGACACGCTAAGCCAAAGTTTCCGACCATCACGTCTGAAGTCATGCGCGCCTGAATATAACTGTTGACAAAGATGCGGGAGATGCGCATGCATAATTATCGGCTGCCGTCGGGGAGAAATGATGGCAGCACAAATGATGAATCGGTGTAGAGGGCGCGGGAGTGTGACAGGCGTAGAGGCGAGAGTACCCTTCGGCGAGAATCATGATTCCCTTCGGGGAGGGGTACCCTCCCCCTCCCCTCCCTGAGATTTCTTGTCGGGGGGCGCGAGGTGGCGGATGGTCCTGTTTCGCCCAAGATGGCTCCAAGAGGGCCTCCGATGCTCCAAGATGGCCTCCGAGGCGGCTCAAAATAGCAGAAGATATGTCAAGATAGCTTCCGATATACTGCCAAGAGGCCCGACGAGGGCCACAAGACGGTTCCAAGTGCTCTCGGAGACCCCCGAGGACCCCGCCAAGAGGCCCAAATCCGTCCAAAACTTGTTATAGGAAAATCCACAAGTGTTGCTTTCTCGCCGTGTCGCTTCCGATTCGCTCGTAAGGCCTCATGATGGCCCCAAGATGGCCCAAGAGAGGCCCAAGAGGGGCCCAAAAGGGCCCACGGAAGGCCGCAAGAGCGCCCAAGAGCGCCCCAAGAGGCGATTTTGATGGCACCATGGGGGGGCCAAACGTTAGGACCCCCCCCCTTTCTCGATAGCCTCCAAGATGGTCCGGAGGGGCCCTCCAGGGCCCCCAAGACGGCCCCAAGACCCTCCGAAATAGCCCCAAGAGGACCCCAAGATCCCCCCGAAAGAATCCCAAGAGGGCTTCAAGATGCGATTTTGAAGGGTTCTGCCCTCATCATCGTTGTCCTCCTCCGCCTCCTCCTCCCCCTCCTCCACCTCCTCCTCCTCTTCCTCCTCGTCCTCGTCCTTGCCCTCATCGTCTTCCTTTTCCTTTTGCTCCTCTTCCTCGTCGTCGTCGTCGTGGTGGTGGTCCTCCTCCTCCTCCTCCTCCTCCTCCTCCTCCTCCTCCTCCTCCTCCTCCTCCTCCTCCGCCTCCTCCTCCGCCTCGTCCTCCGCCTCCTCCCTCTTCTCCTCCTCCTCCTCCTCCTCCTCCTTCCCTCGCCCCCACGCGGGCCCCAGGGATGGCCCGAAAAGGCCCTCCAAGGCCACCCCCTTGCTCCCAGAGATCTCTCTGTTCATCCTGGTTGCCCGCTCTGTTTCACTGCATGTGTCTGTTCGTCCCGTTTCTCCACAGCTCTCATGGGCAAGGTTTCTGAAGGGGCTGGTGTGGATACGCGAAGCGTGAATCCGCCGACCCTGTTGGCGTGTGCGAGGGGCTTCTCCGTTTGAGTTCTCGTCTCCGTCGTCTCCTCGTCGTCTTCGTCGTCGTCACAGTCGTCTCCTCGCCGTATCCGTCGTCCCCCGTCCCTTTCCCTGGGCCCTCCTCAAGCGTGCCATCCAAAGCAAAATTGTACAACGTCGTATTGGAGTCGAAGGGAAGCCCCTTCCCTTTGATCCCTTCCCCGCGGGGGGGGGGGGTCCCGGGGATGGTCCCGGGGTGGGTCCCAGGGGGTGTCCGGGGAGGGTCCCAGGGGGGGTGCCGGGGGGGGGTCGCAATCCAGATTCGTTTTCCCGACAGATCGGACAGCCCCAGAAAGAACCCAGAATGCCCAAGAAGATGGCTCCAAATATTGCCCACAAGAGCCCCATGTCGCTCAAAGATCGGCTCAACAGGGCCAAGATCGCCCCAAGACGATCCAAGAAGCCTCCTATACGTCCCAGGAGCTCTCCAAGAAAACCCCTACCAAGGCTCCAGAGGCTCCTCCCCTCCCTCCTCCTCCTCCTCCTCCTCCTCCTCCTCCTCCTCCTCCTCCTCCTCCTCCTCCTCCTCCTCCTCCTCCTCCTGCCTTCTCCTCATCCTCCTCCTCTCCTCCTCCTCCTCCTCCTCCTCCTCCTCCTCCTCTCCTCCTCCTCTCCCTCCTCTCCCTCCTCCTCCTCCCATCCTCTCCTCCTCCTTTTTGTCCCTCTCCTCTTCCTCCTCTTGCTCCTTCTACTACTCCTCCTCCT